TCATCATTATCATCATTATCATCATCACCATCATTATTGCGTGAAGTATCTCCGAGCCCCGGGGCCCCCACCCCACCCTTCCCAAACTCCCTGTGATTCCCTGCATTCCCGCATGCGGTCCATTTGGAACCTTTCCCTAATGCGCCCTAATCACCCCTTGTGCTTCCTCCTCCTCATCACATTTTATCCTCACGCTTTCCCGCTTCTGTCTGTCTGTCTGTCTGTCTGCATTCTTCGTATACCCGTTGCCTCGTCGCCGCATCCAATGGACCGCTCGGCCTCCGTCTCCGTTATCTCCGGCGCTGCCGCTTCTTCCTTGTCCCCCTCCTCCCCCTCCTCCTCCTTCATCAAAACTCCTGAGGGTGGTCGTGGTTACGATGCTGGTTGTGGTGGTGGTGATTGCTGAAACAGTCATCCAAGTATGATGACAGTAAGGGGGCAAGCCGGGAGCTCAACACGGCCTACCAGCTGCTAAGGGACTTTTACAAGTGAGTTGGTGGGATGGGATGAGAGGGAAGGAAGGGGATTTTCATTCTTAGGGTTTTATCTCATGAGAGTGACTCGTCTTGTGTGACCGCATGCTGCTGCGGCTACGGCTACGAAAGCATGCTGCTGCTCTGATGGCTGTCGTGGTGCTGTCGCTGCGGCTGTAGCTGCGGACACCGTTATTCCGCTTCTATTCCTACCACCACCGTACAGCGGGCCCCGTGTTCACCTCATGCGACACAGGAGGTCAGCTATCCCTCCGTCTCGGTGCCTTCTTCGGGTGCATGGGCTGGCTCTGTTCTGTCGACCCAGCTGCTGCTGCTGCTGTTGTTGCCCCTGTGTCGCTGCTGCTGCTGCGGCGGCGGTTTTTGCTGCCACCGATCATACACGCTCTCGCTGCTGTTGCTAGTTTTTGTGTTACCTCTTTGCTACTGTTTCCGCTGCCCCTCCCTCCGCAGGCCCTTCAATCAGGAGCTTTCGAGGGCGTTTGGGAACGACCCGCGGTGGTTATGGGGGTACTGAATACACCCCACCGTACGCACGTCATGACGGGTGGACAGACCAGCATGCGAAGAGGAGGGACGAGGGAAGGGGAGAGGAAAGGGTGCGTGGAGCGAGGAGAGAGGGATGGGCGATGGGGAGTCCTCACTGTGTGGCGCGGTCGGTACTAGTAGCCACAGTGCTGCTACCTCATACACACATACCTCCCACCACCGGCTTCTGTATACGGGCGGATGGAGGAGGGCCACATGCGGCTGCTGCTGCTGCTGCTTTTTGCCGAGGTTTTGCGCTGCTACACAAGATATCGTGTCATATCATATTTATCATATCTAGTGTCGTAATCACCCCTGCATTGCTGAGCCCGCACGACTGATGTGTGCAAGTTTTCCAGTTCCTACATGTCCCGTCTTCCTTGCAAGCGTCCTTCTGATCCTTATCGTTATCATGATCATCATCATCATCATCATCATCATCATCATGCGTCATCGTGATCGTCTTTTGGGGGCAAGGGCTGGCAAGGGGCCGGGTGTTTTACACCACCACAAACCAGATGGCCCTCGTTTAGAATCCTGGAGAGCGCACTATCACGGGATCTGACATCTGCAGCTGCCGATCGGTACTTTTCTGAAGTCGTGATATAGCACCCCGTAGTGGTGGGTCTAGCCACTTGCAGCCCAGTGCCGTACAGCGTCCCCTGCGGAATACAGCGGGGCAACTCCTTGCTACACCCGGGCCGAGGGCCCTTTTCGGCTTCGAAGTAGCTGACTACACTCCACTCACCAACTATTCCTGGTCAACCGCAATCAGTGAATAGCCCCGCGGTGCACGCGCACATCCAGGCATCCGCAGCAAATGAAAGGGTTGGGCGGCCGGGCAAATCCCAACGATGAAATAGAATAAGGTGATTCAACGCAGCATGCCGTACTCGGCGATTTAGCTTACCACCACATTATACCTTCAAACCTTCACAGACGTACGAGGAGTGGTGTAACCATCGTGTACATAGCACTACCTCCATCACAAGCAAAAACTGATGCATGAGAAACAGCAAATGCCATACAGCAGTCCATGCGCAAACGCAGCCCTGATCCTCACCCCACCGCTGCAACTTCTAAAAGGAAGCACTACGGCTGCTTCATCAACTCGCCTGAACCCTTGTTAGGGATGCATACACGGGACGACAATGCACCGCGAAACGCTCCCATTTCGACGCTTCATCATAAAGGGAATGGATTAGATATCATTGCCCCCTGCCACGACGGTAATCAAAACACCACTAAACACGTCATCCCCCTCTTACGCACACTCCGACTACTCCAGGATTCTGCCAATCGCCCAACACGTCCACATCCAGCCTTGGCTCAGCACATAAGCACTAGGTCGGGCCTACATGCTGCTCCTTCCTTGGCCATAATAAACACCAAGCCAGGGGTTTGCGCCACAGCACTTGGGCTCCTACATGTGCGAGTGTGAACCTCACAGGGCTCCGCCAGTGATACTCAGGCCAGCAATATCCGCCCAGCATCCCTCAACCGTATCAACTTCAGGCAGATTATACATTAACCACAGAAGGAGCGAAGGAGCGAGCTTCATGGCTGTGAGCTTGGTTTGCTTGGTTTGCTTGGGTCGTCTGGGCTTCATGGTCAACGCATTGTCACGTAGCGTGC